TGAACTTGGAGACCTGTCTTCTGTGACGTAGCTTCACCAGCACGTCTGTCACCACACATGGCTCCAGGAGAGTGCTTGCTACTGGCAGAGCTGCTTTTAAACGCCGTGCCATGAGGCGCTGGGCCGGGCTGCTATCCATGCCTTCTGTCGGGGTATTGCGCCATTGCAGGATTGCTTTCCAGGCATCTTTGCCCTCTCGCAGAGCTTTTTTGCAGAGGTTCTTTGCAATTTTGACTGCCGACTCAGCCTTCCCATTAGCTTTTGGGTGTCGTGGTGATGAAGTGACGTGCTCGAATTCCCATTCTGCAGCAAATTTTCGGAACTCACATCCGGAGAATTGGGGTCCATTATCTGAAATTACCCTATCTGGCTGGCCATAGCGGGCAAACTGAGCCTTGCAGCGTTTGATCGTTGTCTCTGCTGAGAGGTCGGGGAGGAGGTCAATCTCCCAGAAGTCTGAGTAATGATCAACTACCAGCAGAAAGTATTTGCCACTGTGCTGGAAGAGATCTAGACTTACTATCTGCCAGGGGCGCATTTGTAGCTCGTGGGACATCATCGTCTCTCTCTGTTGCTCAATGGTATATTCATTGCAGATTGTGCATTTACTGACATAGTCTTTGATTTCACTCTGCATTCCTGGCCAATACAGTGTGTCACGTGCTTGTCTGTAACAGGCCTCACCTCCAATGTAGGAACTTGGCCAGGTAGGTGACGAATCCGACGAAGCGCTGCACTGCCTTCACGTCAGATGGGTGGGGCATATCCAAGACAGCCTTCACTTTTTCTGGATCTGCCTTCAATCCGGTGGAGGACAAGATGTGCCCATGAAAGCGAACCTCTGGCACTTTAAACTGAAGCTTTTTTATGCTTAGCCTTAGCTTGACCTGTCTGCATCTGACCATCAGGGCCAGCAGCTTGGCGTCATGGTCACATTCTGCCTCCTCATCACTGTCCCCACAGCCCACTACGAGGATGTCATCTGCTATGGGTTCCACGCCGCTGAGTCCCATCAACAGCTCGTGCTGTTTCCGCTGATACACCTCTGGAGCCACGGAGACACCAAACGGGAGCTTCAACCACCTCTTCCTGCCCCAGGGTGTCCAAAAGGTGGTCATGTAGCTGCTGGGCTCGTCAAGCTTGCACTGCAGGAAGGCATCTCTGGCGTCCACGAGCGTGAAGACTCTGGCCTTTGGGAGCTTGTAAAGAACATCCTCCAACGTGGGCATAATGTAATGTGAACGTCTCAGAGCCCGGTTGAGGTGTTTAGGATCTATGCATATCCGTAGCTTGTCTGGTTTCTTGACGATAACCATATTACTTATCCAGTCTGTAGGCTCGGTGACGGATATGATGTGGCCATCTGCTTCGTATTTGTCAAGCTGAGCCTTCGTAGCTGCTTTCATGGCCACTGGTACATTGCGAGGTGCACACTGGACAGGCTGGATTGCTGCATCCAACTCAAAGTGGACTTCGCCGGGAACTGACTCGACCGGTGCGTTGAAGACATCATGGTACTTGCTTAGGAGAGTCTCCTTGCTCAGGGGCCCAGCCTGGACTTTGTCTATAATGTTAAGATCAGCTGGGATGGTGAAGTTAATAAGCCCAAGGCGCTCGCATGTAGAACCTGACAGTAATGGCTGTTGACTAGCCTCAACTATTTCAAACTCAAGAGTGTGTTTCTGGCCACGTAAAACACACTCTGTCACAAACAGGCCTAAAGAGGTCATGAACTGGCCTGAATACAGTTTCAGCTTGGTGCTCCTCTGTGTGAGTTTGTCTCTGGGCGCGAGCCTCCTTTTATCTTTAAGGCTCATAACGTTACATGTGGCCCCTGAATCTAGCTGGCATTGCTGTGGTTTATTATTAAGTAGCAGAGTGACAAACCATTTTTTTCCTTTTGCCCTTACTGCCCCTATGCACTCGCTAGCATATACATCCTCTGTGCTGTTGTTCCCTTCATCTGTGTTTATTTCAATGGAGTGCACTTTACCCTCCTTTCTCTTGCTTTTCATGCAGGCCCTTGCGAAGTGATTAGCTGTACCACAGGATTTGCATATTTTTCCATAGGCTGGGCAGTGTTCTTTTCCTCGTCCATGAGAAATGCCACAATATCGGCATGCATTGGGGTTGTCTACTGCAGAGTTGGCTGTAGTATTAGCATTAGCTGTGGCAAAAGGGAATTTCTTTACTGGCTGCCTGAATGTAGCATTGACATTGTCCATATGTTGCCTTTCTAGCTCCATGGACCTTATCTGTATATCCGTAAGCTCTGCTGCACGGCATGTCTCCACTGCCAAGACCAGTGTCAGGTCACGTTCTCTCAGCAAACGTCTGCGGGTGCCCTCATCAGTTGTGCCAAGCACTATCTTGTCTCTGATCAGTTCATCTCTTAAAGCACCATAGTCACATGTAGCTGCCTTTTCCCTTAGCTTAGTGACAAAGCTGTCAATGGACTCCCCGTCCTCCTGTTTGCAACAACCGAAAACATAACGCTCGTAGATAACGTTCTTTGCTGGCTTAAAGTAAAGTTGGAGAGCATCAAGAATAGCTGTAGCGTTACCTTGCTGAGCTGCTGTTAGGTTCAGGTTGTGTTTGTATACGTGTCGGCATTCAGCTCCCATTATAGTCCTCAAAGTGGCAGCCACTACCTCATCGTCCTTTTCCCGAAGTCCCGTTGCTAGTGCATAGTCCTCCCATTCACCTCTAAACGTATCCCAGTTTGTGCTCCAATCTCCGCTGAGCTTCATAACGGCGGGAGGGGAAATGTTTGCTGCCATGTCTAAACGGTGCTAACACTGAAGCTAGGGACAATTCCGGAGAAGTTTTACTCAACTAAGCTTTTTTTTTTTATTTATTATATTTTAAAACCAGAACAGGTGACTCTAATTTGCGGAAAGCATGGTTAGTTATCTGACTCTGACACCATGTTTGAATGTTAAATAACGAGGCAGAGGCATTGATGCGAGTAACCAGTCTTGTTCAGTATATTGCAATACATCCGAGTATCTTTAAGTACACCGGTAAAACACTGGAGTTGCAGTAATGAACATTTACCAACAGATGACATCATTGTGCCATCTTCCACCCATAACACCCACAACCCTGGCGTTGCAAACGCCATGCTCTACCAACTGATTCGGGGGACTCCCACTTTTGTTTGTGTCTTATTGGTCAAGGTCACGCCAAATACTTATCGCCACATCTCGTTCAGCCTATCAGTGGCCTTGATTCCCGGGACTTCAGTTTCAGTTAGTCTGTGACCCCAGCATGCTGTGTGGTCAGAAATGTGCTTTCTCCATCCTAATGAGCACTTCCACAGTTTACCCTCCTGCTGAACTTTTCATCCTGTGGACTGAATCCCTGTATGTCTGATGTTTAATTGTACGTGCATCTAAACGTAAGTGCCTTGAGATCTGCGTCATATTATGTGGAGCAAAATGTTGTGGTCTATTGTGTATAATTACAGTGTGTTGAGCTTGTTAGGTAGCTCACGCTCCCGCTAGCGGGAGCACTACCGATAGCATTTTGTACTGGAATGCATGAGCATTTTAGCATGACTGTTAGCGATTAGCCTTTATTAGCATTAATAATTTATGGTGCTTGGCTATTTTCTATTCTATATACAGTACCAGTCAACAGTTTGGACACACCTACTCATTCAAGGGTTTTTCTTTATTTTTTACTATTTTCTATATTGTATAATTATAGTGAAGACATCAAAACTATGAAATAACACATATGGAATCATATAGTAACCAAAAAAGTGTTAAACAAATCAAAATATATTTTAGATTCTTCAAAGTAGCCACCCTTTGCCTTGATGACAGCTTTGCACACTCTTGGCATTCTCTCAACCAGCTTCATGAGGAACGCCCCGAATTGTGGGCTGCAGTTGCACACTTGCTCATTTGTGCAACCTGGGAAATAGCACACAAAAAATATCATAGTCCTCCCTAGTAGAATACCTAGATATGTAATATTCTTTAATTAGAGTAGGCCTAGATAATGGTGATTTATTACTTACAGGTATGTTTGATTAGGCTACATTTATTGTTGTGTGCACACAGCACGCGAGCACTTTATTGCAAATATAAACAATGCTGTATACTTCTCCCGTCTGATGTAATTATTTTTTACAGTCTATGTCAGATCCTTTTAACACAGCTGAGGGTCGGGTTTTCGAGACTACTTTGAAGTAGCCTAAAGGGTTTATGTTTGAATCCGCTTGTTTCTCGCACACAGGTCTTGATCAGGTCATGTCTCCACAACAACTCAACTTGGACATGAAGCTCCACCCACAACAACAGACCCCCTATGACCAACACCTCTCCATAAACCTGGATATGGTTACAGAACTGTGGGCATGACTGGCTAACTATCTATCATTCATGTGTAGCCAGAGATTGTTAAGGAATGTAGCTTTCTTTACAGTCTCTGGTGTAGCATCAGTGCCATATCATGCCATGATGTGAACTCGGATTCAATGTGGATAGTGGATTCCCTCCGTTATGGGGAACCTCCTTCCTGCCTTTTTCTTATTTGGTCCTGAATGTGTGATCCACCAGGAGGGTTGCGGAAGATGGCGGCGAGTGCAGACGGGAGTTTATCTTGCTCCGAGTAACCTTAACTTTTATCCCTATCAAATTTACTTAAATGTAACAAAACCCGGTTTATAGTAAACACAACAGAGAGCAACGCTCAGTTGACCGCTAATTGGATCTGAAACGTGGAATAATTTTTTTTGCGAAAGAGTAAAGGGAGGAGAAGGCAGTTGCTAGCTGACCACTCATACACCGAAAAGAAACCGCCACCTGACTCCTCAGGAGAAGAAATTGAGGAATCTGGACATTCGGTTGATTCAGAAACTCCAACCAATAGTCCTGCTCCCAAAAAGACACAGAAATAATTGTCTTTAATTGTCATTGCGGGAACTCCAGGTCAACATAATCGATGCTGTCACTGCAAAGATAAACGAAAGAGCCGATGGTCTGGAGAAAATGATACGCGAAAACACATCAAAAATCGTTGACCTCGAGACCTCTCTGAATCATGTATACGAGAGTATAGAAGAGCTTAATCGTGCAAACACTGCAACCTCTGATAAATGCACTGCACAGGAGAAGACCATCGCCGACATGCAAGAGCGCTTGTCGGAAGCAGAGCGATACCTGAGAAGGTGGGGGCTACGGCTTTATGGTTTCCCCGAGGACCAGGGTGAGAATGTGAAGCGCACAGTTAGTGACATCTGTAACCATATGGCTCTGGACTTCCCCGGAAGATATATGGATATAAATATGGCTGTGGATGTCCCTCATCGTATTGGGAAGAAGCAAGATGCCATCGGCAGCCGCTTGATCATCATCCAGTTCGCTTTCCGCACAGCGAGAGATGCAGTTTGGAAGAAAGCAAAGGAAAGTGCCTTTCTGAAAGAGAGAAAATGTAGATTCGGTGAGGACCTGACTGCAGCAGACAAGGCAGCAAAGGCAAAGTTGTGGCCTCTCGTCCAACAGGCCCGAAATCAAGGAAGGGGTGCATACTACAGGGGAATCAGAGCCTTTTTCACAGATGGAAAATAAATTTGACTGGGTTGATTTGCTCTGCCGGTAGTCTTACAAGCTAGCCCATTCCCCACCACAAACTGAGCGTTCTAGTTTTGAATTCTGGTGTTATGGTTTACAAGTTAAGACTTATGTTAATACATATGAAGCACCTTTTCTAGAGAGGGTAGAGTTGAGATTGCATAGGATTTTCCTTTCTATTTTGTATATATGGATTTGAAGTTTATGTCAATCAATGCCAGGGGGATATGAAACCTGTTGAAGAGGACATATTTTTTGTTGTTGTAAGGACTGCAATGCAGATCTTGTATTCGTTCAAGAAACACATTAATGCAAATGTTATTGCATGATGATTTAAAAAATGTGATTAAGAATCTAATTTCTGTTTACTGGAATTTAGCAACCTCTTATTGCAGAATATGGGAAATATTGGGAACTGCTGAAATATAAAATCCGCTCAGCCTGTATTACTTACGGGAAACGGCTTGCTTTAAGAAGGAGATGTGAGGTAGCTGAGCTCTCTAAGAAAATTGCTGATATCACAGAGATTGAGCGTCTTGATCTTAACGAAAAAAGCTAAATCTAATGATTTACAGAGTCAACTAGATACATTTTATGAGGAAAAGGCTAGAGGAGCCTTCATAAGATCCAGAAAACAATGGCTTGAAAAAGGCGAAAAGAACAGTAGATACTTTTTTAATTTGGAAAAGAGGAGAGGGGAACTCAACACACTTCGAAAATGTAAGATTAATGGGGTAACCTCTGAGGATAGAGAGTTGGTATCAAACTTTACCACTAAGTTTTATGAGAATCTTTACTCCTTAGATAACAGTTTGAGTGACTCTAAGGATCTCCTTGATTCTATAGAGAATGTTAACTCTGTTAGTGAAGAATTCAATCGGTCTTGTTGTGAAGATTTATCCATTATAACATCCAATATGGGGTTGCTCAATTAAAAAATAACCTCAGAATTTTACAAAACCTTCTCTGAAGAAATAGCACAATTCTTACTTGAAACCTTTAAAGAGGCTATAAAGAAGGGAGAACTACCTGCCTCTCTGAAACAAGTGGTTATTAGTCTTATACCTAAACTACAAAAGGATCTCTTAATTATTGATAATTGGTGTCCAATCACACTCCTAAATAACAACTACAAAATTATAGCCTCAATCTTTGCGAAAAGGTTAAAGTTGTGCTTGAGTGATCTGATTGATGAATGTCAATCAGGGTTTATGAAAGGGCTCCATATATCTAATAATCTGAGGCTGGTGTTAGAGTTGGTTGAGTATTGTGATCTATTGGATGACTCCCCTGTTATCTTATTTTTGGATTTTCAGAAAGCATTTGATACCGTAAATCACAATTTTATCTTTGATTGTCTTAAGCAATTTAAGTTTGGTAATGTTGTTGATGCTATTAGAACTCTGTATAATGGTAGCAATAGCTGTATCAAACTATGTCATGGAACATCCTCAAGGTTTAACATTTACAAAGGAATACGACAAGGTTGTCCAATATCACCATTTTTTTTTTTTTGTTAGTTTCTCAAACCTTATGCTCATTAGTTTATCAAAGTCAATTTGAAGGCATTACATTCCAGACCAGAGAGATCAAGATATCCCAACTGGCGGACGACACCTCACTTTTTTTGAAAAATGTCACGAGCTAGATTAGCATTGGATATTGTGAAGCAGTTCTCCAAAATCTCAGGTTTGGTATTAAATCTTTCCAAATGTGAGATGTTTGTTCTGAAAGGAGCTGTCAATCCAGCAGTGTAGCTCCTCCAGTGACAGGCATGAGGCAAGAGGTCTTGATTCAAATACAGGGCTTTAATGCTGGTCAACCCGTGAGAACTGGTTTAAAGAAAGAAAAAATACATTAACAAAATAATGCCATATGCATGTCTCACACATCTGGCGTTATAATCAAGCTCATACAGCTAGCCACTTTATGTATATTTTACACCAAAACTGACGCACGTAAACACAAACACCCTCATAGCAAAATAAGTAGTCAACAAACCTCATTGCTGCTTATCACACGGAGGTACTAAACATCCTTTTAAATGTCCTTTATCTTCTTCTGTATACTTTCTTTGTAAGTATGCACTTAAACACGATAACAGTGGAAAAATAATTCGCTTTTTCGCGGTAAAGTTTTCTCGGTGCGTCGCTAAAGGCGCTCGGGTGACAACACTCGGGCGGAACCAATAATTAGTTCCGTCTTGCTGTAAACGTACATACAGAAGAAATTAATAATAAAAAGTGCAAATACATGAAATAAACTGGCGACAGAGGCAGTTACAAGCAGATTGTAACATCTCTGAAAAAGGATACTGTAACCTACCTCGGTGTAAAGATCACCAAAATCTTAAGGCTGTGAATGATTTTAATTTTAATCCTGTACGAATCTATCAAAAATAAATTTTCCTCATGGTTAGGGAGGATTTAAGTCTTCAAGGAGGGTGCTTTTATCCAAGCTGAGGGTTATCTCGTGCATCCATCTTTTTAATCTATGACATTCCAAATCCACTTGCTGTACCTTAGATAGGCTATTGTACAACTTCGTATGGAAAAACAAGCCACATAAGATAAAAAGAGATGTTATCACCAACAGGGTTTGTGAAGGCGGTCTACAGTGGGGAAAAAAAGTATTTAGTCAGCCACCAATTGTGCAAGTTCTCCCACTTAAAAAGATGAGAGAGGCCTGTAATTTTCATCATAGGTACAAGTCAACTATGACAGACAAATTGAGGAAAAGAAATCCAGAAAATCACATTGTAGGATTTTTTATGAATTTATTAGCAAATTATGGTGGAAAATAAGTATTTGGTCACCTACAAACAAGCAAGATTTCTGGCTCTCACAGACCTGTAACTTCTTCTTTAAAAGGCTCCTCTGTCCTCCACTCGTTACCTGTATTAATGGCACCTGTTTGAACTTGTTATCAGTATAAAAGACACCTGTCCACAACCTCAAACAGTCACACTCCAAACTCCACTATGGCCAAGACCAAAGAGCTGTCAAAGGACACCAGAAACAAAATTGTAGACCTGCACCAGGCTGGGAAGACTGAATCTGCAATAGGTAAGCAGCTTGGTTTGAAGAAATCAATTGTGGGAGCAATTATTAGGAAATGGAAGACATACAAGACCACTGATAATCTCCCTCGATCTGGGGCTCCACGCAAGATCTCACCCCGTGGGGTCAAAATGATCACAAGAACGGTGAGCAAAAATCCCAGAACCACACGGGGGGACCTAGTGAATGACCTGTAGAGAGCTGGGACCAAAGTAACAAAGCCTACCATCAGTAACACACTACGCCGCCAGGGACTCAAATCCTGCAGTGCCAGACGTGTCCCCCTGCTTAAGCCAGTACATGTCCAGGCCTGTCTGAAGTTTGCTAGAGTGCATTTGGATGATCCAGAAGAGGATTGGGAGAATGTCATATGGTCAGATGAAACCAAAATAGAACTTTTTGGTAAAAACTCAACTCGTCGTGTTTGGAGGACAAAGAATGCTGAGTTGCATCCAAAGAACACCATACCTACTGTGAAGCATGGGGGTGGAAACATCATGCTTTGGGGCTGTTTTTCTGCAAAGGGACCAGGACGACTGATCCGTGTAAAGGAAAGAATGAATGGGGCCATGTATCGTGAGATTTTGAGTGAAAACCTCATTCCATCAGCAAGGGTATTGAAGATTAAACGTGGCTGGGTCTTTCAGCATGACAATGATCCCAAACACACCGCCCGGGCAACGAAGGAGTGGCTTCGTAAGAAGCATTTCAAGGTCCTGGAGTGGCCTAGCCAGTCTCCAGATCTCAACCCCATAGAAAATCTTTGGAGGGAGTTGAAAGTCCGTGTTGCCCAGCGACAGCCCCAAAACATCACTGCTCTAGAGGAGATCTGCATGGAGGAATGGGCCAAAATACCAGCAACAGTGTGTGAAAACCTTGTGAAGACTTACAGAAAACGTTTGACCTGTGTCATTGCCAACAAAGGGTATATAACAAAGTATTAAGAAACTTTTGTTATTGACCAAATACTTATTTTCCACCATAATTTGCAAATAAATTCATAAAAAATCCTACAATGTGATTTTCTGGAGAAAAAAAATCCGCTCTTTTCCTCATTTTATCTGTCATAGTTGACGTGTACCTATGATGAAAATTACAGGCCTCTCTCATCTTTTTAAGTGGGAGAACTTGCACAATTGGTGGCTGACTAAATACTTTTTTCCCCCACTGTAAATGTCTTAGACTTCACTCTCTTTAATCACATATCAAAAGTCAACTGGGTTAAAAGGGACTTTAAAAAATGCTTATAGTTTCTGGAATATTGTACGTCATTTTGTTTTTCAGAAGCTCGGATGGCTTAATTTTTTTACTACAATGTCCCTATATTGTGGGTAAACTTCCTGTGACATTGGCGGCTTTTCACAAGCAGGCTTTAATGTGCTGGGCTTTGCTGTATAAACACAACTTTTCACCTCATAAATGTTTTATATGGAATAATGGGTCGATATTACATAGAAACAATATGTTATTTTACTGTAACTGGTTCTCAACAAACTTTGTCCTTGTCTGCCAATTAATTAGTATTAGTGGGAATCTATTTACACAGAGATAATTTATGGAAAGATACAACTTTGGAGGTTTCAAGCAAGGAATATGACCCTGTAATAAAAGCTATAGCTAGTGGGATAAAATCTTTACTTCAGAATAATGCATGTTTTGGAACATCTCCTATTGTAAGCGATATCCAAGTGAATGGCATAGGTTTACTAGATAAGAAATGTAATAATCGTTTTTTAAGGGATATTTTCTACAGGAATTCTATTCCTTCTGCTATATTTTATTGGGCTTCATCGTTTGATGTAAATTGGCGCCGTGCTTGGCTCACTCCACACACATTTATGGTGACCAATAAAGTAAAGGAGATCTCCTTTAAGATTATCCATAGATTCTACCCATGTTAATAGCCTGATTTCTAAATATATACCTGATGTTACTAGTGAATGCAGTTTTTGTGAACTAGAAACTGAATCTATTGAACACTCATTTTGTAATTGTTTACATAGTGAGGTGTTCTGGACTGATGTACAACTATATCTTGGCAACAAAATGCATAAAACCATTGAAATATCTAAGTTTGACATATTATTTTACTACATCTGGATAAGAGCGTCTGCTAAATGACTAAAATGTAAATGTACACTGATTCCACAATTGAACGTCAGTATGTCATACATCTCTTTATTTTATTAGGAAAATATTTCATACAAAATCAACATTTATGAAGAAAAAGCCCCTTTTTTTATAAATAAATAATCAATCAGATTTGGAAAACTATTTAGCACTATTAAAACGTATACAAAACAAAATGTCAGAACAATTTATTCGTTACATGTCTGTATTTGATTTTATATAATGTTTTTTTTTTTTTTTTTAATATATATATATTTTTCTCTCGTTATGTCTTTGTGTAATCCCTCTGGCTGTTCTGTTTTTTGTGTTTTACATGTTACTGTTAAATAAAAGAAAAACAAAGTGTGATCCACCAGAAGGTGCCACCAGAGGGAGCCACCTGTCCATGTCAGACCTTATGGCTCCTCCACGTTCTCTTTGTACCTTTATACTGAATGTTTTTGTTTACGTGTAAAATATAAACTAAACCAAAATAGTCCAAATTAAAATATATATTTTCATCTTCAAGTCTATGGTTTTATCTCAATGGTACAAATATTGATAAATGAATAAAATAGATGACGTTGAAAACGTTGAAGTGATGTATGCTATGTCTATCCTGACTTTGCAGCACAAACTAAACCTGAGGGAAATAGATAACAGTAGGACCTGGCTACATATAGCAAGGAAGAATGCCAGAGCAGACAGGGCAGTTCTGAAAAATAATAGCCTTTATTTTCTTACAGTGGTATTTACAGGTGACATTACCTGCTCTCATGGTTCTGAATGTGGGGAATTATTGAAGTACAAAGTAAAGTCCGTCTGTTGAAAGCATCTCAATCAAATAAACTACAATAACAACACAAGGTAAAGAATACTCATTGCCTGAGCAGCCAGATATCCTGCAGGCTAATTGCTGTGAAAGAGAGAGAGAGAGCTGGCTGGAGGACAAGATTATAAATATGATAATGTAACCTAACTAACCTATTTTACTGTGTGCTATTTCAATGTATGAGGCATATCTATTACCCTTCAGCATCCCGCTGCTGTAAACCTGGAAACGCACACACACACAACGCTGCATCGCAAAGCAGGATCAACGGGTCAGCCAAAAAACGTTCCTAAATTATCCGAAATATCTTTATTTCCAACATTAAGACTTGAAATGGGCATGCTATAACTGACTTGACAGTCCCAACAACTCTTAGCTTTTTAAATGAGCCAGACAATCAAGAGCTGGGGGTCTAATCATTAGTCCAAACAGTTGCGTTTTGCAACGAAAACAAGAGTTTCTATTGGGACAAATTATGGTAGGTCCCACCCCGTTTCAGATACGTTTTGCAACAGAATCGGCGAAATGAATACAACCCAGCTGTAGGCCTATCTGTTTGTGATCCTGCTATGTGATCCAGCCCTCTGGTGGACACACTGACTCACACAGAAAGACCATAGACTCATGTCATACAGGGCTATGTTCAGAAGGCAGCAAAGAGTAAAAAAATATGTTGAAACCTGAACCTAATGCAATTAGAAAGCCCATTTCTGTTTCAAAACGTTTTCTCCAGTTTTATGCCTAATGAACACAGCCAAGTGTTAGGGCTGTGGTAGTTTCACTTGGAGATGCGGCCGTGGGAAGAGCTAGGGACGGGGTCAAGTCCATTTCAAATAAACTGAAAGATTTTTACACCAACACAGATTTGATATGTAGCCTACTGCTTTACAGAACCAGAATAATCCCCATCATGCCCACAGTAATACAATAATATTAAATAAAAATTAGTTACTGATATATTAAGAAAGATTCAGGCATTGTTTTGCTTTAACTGAAAGAGATGATGAATATTGTCTGGTTTGAGTGCACTACTGTATAAATAAGAAGAGATAAATATGTTGATCGCTCTATGGGAATAATCACAGGTACGTCCGAAATGGCAACATATTCCCTATTTAGTGCACTACTTTTGAACAGGGCCCTATGAGCTCTGGTCAAAAGTAGTTGCACTATATAGGGAATAACGTGCTATTTTGGCCGCAACCAGAGACTAAGATGAAGCCACTGCTTTTGGCAGCCCTGTTGAACTTGAAAGAGAAACATATATTACATACAGTAGGGGGTGCTAGCATCCCACACATTCAACAGAACAGAATAACAGATACATCTATGGAAATACAGTTATTTAAAAATACATTTGAATATGATTGAAATCACATTGTCAACAACCAGGACTGGGAATCCAGTGATTTATCAAGACTTCCTATAGATTCATATAACCATAGAATTGTTTTTTATAGGAATTCTATGCCTATGGCTATCTAATGGAAGCTCCAACTTTGAACCTCAAAGCACTAGACAGAGCACACATTTTGGATGCTACGAAAAACCCATTCTGTCTTGTGATATGGGGTTGGAGGATTTTAAATACAACATTCTATTAAATAACATTTTGTGACAGTAACATATTACCTCTCCACTCACTTTTAATAAGACTACACAGAGGACAGGACAGTAGTGCTCAAGGAGGCAATGATACAATGATGGAGTGAAAAAAAAAAAAAAAACTGACAGAGATGGTTAGAAAAATAGATATGTTAAGAGGCAGGATAAGCAAATACAAACTCCAAAGCCCTTCCCCCCCTCTGGGTGATTGACAGAGAGAAAAGATGGAAGTCAAAACGAGTGTACATTCTCATGGAACACTATTTAATAACAATCCCTCTGAGTCTGGAACCTGACAGACATTCCTAAAGGGTTCTTGTTGCTAGGGGCAATGTTCTAAGCCTTGAGGGGGCTATGTGCTCTATGATAATAGTGACTTCTAGGAAGTATTACTGTTGGTGCACAGTATCATTTATTTATAAGAGTGCAGCCTTATTTACACATCTAAAACCCTGGCAGGCATAACAACAGTGTACAGTTTGACTGTGGAGACAAGGTTTGTCATCGAGGAGCAGGTCATGACCACTGTTGTATTTCCTACCGACTTCTACCCAAAAGGCTATAAACTACAGACCATAAATAAATGTTCCAACAACGCAGTGGTTTGTTGGTTAAACCATGTGATTGATTGTTTAAAATCTGAGCACCTTTTCCAGGAATTTAGGTAGTTTTTTGCGAATAATGTGACTTAACACATATTCTAAACACACAAAGAGTAGATAATATATTATAGTCATTTCCCCAATTCATCCAGGGACCCAATCAAAGACAATATAATACAGCAAGCAGGAGGAGGGTGTTGGGGTGTCACCTTTGACCCTTGACCTGTAACCCCAGAAATGAATGACGGCAGGCACTTGAACGTTGTGGTTTCCTGATTGTTTGTTTGTGAACTAGTCCGGTGAGTTGACAGTCCTCACACAAGGTTGCGTGCTCCGGATGTAAGTTGTATCTAAGTACAGATCTAGGATCAGCTTACCCCCAGATCCTAACCTAAACCATTAGAGGATGAAACACAAAACTGGCCCTAGATCAGTGTCTACATGCAACTTCCTCCTCACAGTTCAGTAAGAGAAGGAGGCGGGATTAGCAATGACTTCACCCTCGTCCCTTCAGGATTCCATCTCGTCTCCATCGAATGGCAGGGGCACGAAGCTGCAAACCTCCTCATACGTCAACCCTGAGAGACGGATGGAGAGAGAGATAGAGAGAGAGGAGAAAACAAGAGAAATGAGAATCAGAGGTCAGGAGACTTGTACAGTACCTAGTTTAATAAGAGTATTTCCACCCCCTTTCAGCCCACCTACTTTTCCACTCCTCTATCTCCAGCTCTCTGCTTTCGAAGCTCTGGTCGTACGGCTCGGACTCTGGCTCATCGTCTGGGTCGTGGTACTGGGAGAAGTAGGGGTGGGCCAGGGCCTCAGACGCTGTGATCCGCTTATCAGTGTCCAGAACCAACATCTTCTCTAACAGATCCACCGCTAGAGGGAGAGAAAGGGAGAGGGAGTGTGTCTGTTTAGACAGTGTGAGTGAACATTCCATTACGCAGACTAAAACATTATTACTTAGTGGGTAGCACCAAAAGAGGGAGAGTGTCAATTAAATGGTCTGTTAAACAGTGTGTGTGTGTGTATGAACGTTACACTAGACAGACTTGCCCATTATTACCTAGTGGGTTAGCGCCAACAAACACATCAGCAAAGTTCCTCTTGAGCATCTGGGGAAGGGAGTTGATGTAGTTTCTGGCCTGTTAAAGATACACACAGAACGGCTCAAGATACTCTCACACATTCCACTCAAACACAGCTCAAACACACTGGATAGGGAACACACAGTTGACTTCAACACTTCAACTGTTTCTGAAATCAAGTGATCCCACAGGTCGGCAGTGAAGATGGCTTTCTGTACACTTATGGCCAAAACGTGATCAGAATGCGTAAATCATGCACTGATGCCAATGGGAGACGGAAATGTCAGTTATGTGACCAGTGGATGTACAGGTAACTGCCAAAATAAAGGAAACATACAAAGGGATACAAAGTATATTGAAAGCATGTGATTCCACACAGGTGTGGTTCCTGAGTTAATTAAGCAATTAACATCCCATCATGCTTAGGGTCATGTATAAAAATTGGCTACCTTGGCTAGAAGAAGAGATCTCAGTGACTTTGAAAGAGGCGTCTCAAAGGAGCATAGGGGGTTTAAAGGGTGTGTGTTTGTCCCAGCCACCAGATCTCAACCCAGTTCAACACTTCTGGAGTGGCGCCTGAGACAGAGTTTTCCACCACCGTCAACAAAACACCAAATTATGGAATTTCTCATGGAAGAAGGGTGTCGCATCCCTCCAATAGAGTTCCAGACACTTGTAAAATCTATGCCAAGGTGCATTAAAGCTGTTCTGGTGGTTCGTGGTGGCCCAACGCCCTATTAAGACACTTTATGTTGGTGTTTCCTTTAATTTGGCAGTTACCTGTATGTATTAAGCGTCTCAAGAGTAGGAGTGCTGATTTATGAATGAATAGGAGTACATGGACAGGGGGGACCTGACCCTGGATCAGCACGCCTACTCTGAAGTTAGGATTCCCATAGAGCACAACTAAAGGGTTATGAGGAATCCTGTCACAGTCTGGCACAGTAGTTATGTTTGGAAGAGAAGCACTGCACACAAAAACCAAAACACATCATTTAAGATCAGAACTCTGAGGGGCAAGGCCAGAGACAGCAGTGAGGAATTAGGGCTTGCAAAGCACTCTGGGATGTGGTGAGATTACATCAGAGACAAAAAGCAGACTGGTGTCAGAGAGACGGGAGGAGGGTGGGAAGAGCTCTGTAGAGTGTAACAAAATTCTACGGGGCATATTTTCATCAAACAACAAACAAACAAAACAGAGGAAAAAGGGCACTGATTGTCATTGGTTGATGTTGTGGCTCCAATTCTGTCTCTGCCAGGTTTCCGTGGACACAGAGAGCGATATCAAATCAAAGTTTATTTGTCAAATAACAGAATACAACGGGTGTAAACCATACAGTGAAATGCTTACGTACAAGCTCTTCCTCAACAATAAAGAGTTCAAAATCAGAGGTGTGAAAAATAAATAGGATCTTAAAGACATGCTCCAGAGTTTTTAAAATTGACCTCAATTAGCCACGAAATCCCTAGTTTGAATGAGACTGTTTTCTGGAATCTGTGTGGCGCCATTTTGCCTACATATCCCCCCACATGGGCCAGCCCCCTAGCAATTTGAGTTTCAGCCAATGAGCTTCAGCCCTTCGCCATCTGAGTGACAGCTAGCAAGACGCACACACAGCAGCGCGAGAGAGAGAGTGAGCATTGACGTGGTGCACATACAGTGCCTATAGAAAATCTACACCCCCTTTAACTTTTTTCACATTTATTGCGTTACAAAAGGGGGATTGAAATAGATTTAATTGTAATTTTTTGTCATTGATCTACACAAAATACTCCATAATGAAATGCTACACATTTTTACAAATTAAATAATAAATAAATTAGTTCAGAAGTTACAATTGGCTTAACAAATCACATAAGTTATAGAGGGGTTGACATGATTTTTGAATGACTACCCCTTCCTCTGTCACATACAACATCTGTAAGGTCCCTCAGTCAAGTATTGAATTTCAAGCACAGATTCAACTACAAAGACCAGGGAGCTTTTTGAAAGCCTCACAAAGAAGGGCAGCGATTGGTAGATGGACAACAATAGCAAATCAGACATTCAATATATCTTTAAGCATGGTCAAGTTAATAATTATGCTGTGGATTATGTATTAAACCACCCAGACACATCAAAGATGCAGTCATCCTTCTGAACTGAGCTGCAGGACATTAAGGAAACTGCTTAGGGATGTCACCATGAGGCCATTGGTGTTTTTTTAAACAGCTACAGAGTTCAATGGCTGTGATAGGAGAAAACTGAGAATGGCTCAACATTGTAGTGTCTACAGAATAATGACAATGACAGAGTAAAAATAAGAATAGAAATAGAATGAATAAAAATATTCCAAAACATGCATATGTATGCAACAAGGTACTAAAGTAATACTGCAACAAAAAAAAACATTTTGTCCTAAATGCAAAGCCTTATGTTTGGGGCAAATCCAACACAACACATCACTGAGTAACTGCCTACTTATTTTCAAGCATGGAGGTGGCTGCATCATGGCATGGGTATGCTTGACATCGGCAAAGACTGGAGAGTTTTTCAGGAAGAAAATAAACAGGCACCAGCAAAATCCTAGAGAAAAACCTGCTTCAGTCTGCTTTACACCAGACACTGGGAGATGAATACACCAGGACAATAACCTACAACACAAAGCCAAATCTACACTGGAGTTGCTTACCAAGAAGACAGTGAATGTTCCTGAGTGGCCGAGTTACAGTTTTGACTTAAATCTGCTTGAAAATTTATGGCAAGACTTGAAGAATTTTGAAAATAATAATTGGCAAATATTGCACAATACAGGCGTGCAAAGCTCTTATGAGACTTACCCAAGAATACTTATCTAATTTTTTGTTTTATTTTTCATGAATCTTTTTTTTGGGGGGATCTATTTTACTTCCACTTTGACAGAGTATTTTGTGTAGATCGTTGACAAAAAATTACAATTAAATACATTTTCATCCCACTTTGTAAGACAATAAAATGTGAATAAATCCAAGGGGGGTGTAGACTTTCTATAGGCACTGTATGTGCACATATGTGACGTAGTACGCCATTTCCGGGGACCACTGTTGGCTCGTGAGCGCTACTTTCAAAACTACTGGCTAAACTGTATACAAAAGTACTGGAGAATCTCTTTTAAGAAAGGCATGGAAACAACATGGGACTTGTGGGAAGGCCTGTTGCAGCCTGGAGGAACTGGAGGGACCTGGGAAGGACATATCGTAGTGCCTCACCTCGTGGCTGGGCATCCGGCTAATGAGACAGGCCGGGGGCGTTCCTGTCAGCCTCATGATCTGCTGCAGCTGGTTGATATCTTTCAGGCTCAGGGTCAAGGGTCATAGGTCGTACTGTCACACAGGTAACATGTCAAAGTGTCCTTAAACTAAATACTGAATACATTTTTTCCTCTTTTTGGGTGTGTGTGTGGGGGGGGGTAGAGAAGAAGATGAGGTGATGAGAGGAAATGTAGGGAGAGGAGAGAGGGAGGTAGAGAGAACTGCCATGCTGTACTATTGAATAGAGACAACATGCTTTTAGATCACAGCCAGCAGAGAAACGTGTCAGAGGAACAGATGAACTCAGATCGACAAGAGGGAATCAAGAGCATTACAGAGCAGCTCTACTCAATGAAACTACTAGATGGTTCTCTTTGCTTCTCTTAAAAAGACACACTATGGAAGTTTAGCTGCTAATTGGTTACCTTAAATATTGGCTTTAAGAATACAAGAATATTGACTGAGAGCAGCCTATGTATCTGGGAGCTGGAAGTACACAGGGAGCTGTGGTGTTGAGTTACAGTTAAGAGTTACAGTGAGTGGCCATATAAGGGCAGGACAGGAAGTAGAGAGTATAGTAGTTTAGGAGGTTGCCATAGTAATGCAGAGGCACAACCAAAGCGCAGGCAGGCGGGTGGGCGTGGGCGGAGCAGAATGTGGCGGAACACTCACAGACTCAGGTTCCGGGGTTCCCATGAGGAGCATTATAAGCTTCAACTGATCAGTATCTATACTACACAAACATAAAGGGAAACCGAGGGATGGGATGGATGAATGGAAAGAGGGGGGAAGAGAAGGAGAGAGAGAGAGAAGGAGAAGTGAGATAAGACTTGAGGACAGTTCTCAAAACTTTCTCAATGTTCTCAAAAAGTCTGTTCTCTAATCCAGTGTGTAGGACGTAAATGCGCACTTCAACAGGGTGTTAGGCAGGGATGGACAATAATTCTGTCTCGAGGGCCACATCGGGATATAACAATTCTGCGGAGGGCCGCACATAGTTTTTTTCTTACCGATTAGTTTGTCAAAAGCAATTTGTGGGCCAGAAAAAGGCAGTTATTGCAAAATGTATAGGCCCATTATAATTTACACATACCTCCTATCTAGTTTTAGACGTTAAAGAGTGGGCTGAAGTTGTATATATATATTTTTTTACCCCCTCTCATAGCTGCAACTCCCCAACGGGCTCAGGAGGCGAAGGTCGAGTCATGCGTCCTCCGAAACATGACCCGCATAACCGCACTTCTTAACACCTGCCCGCTTAACCCGGAAGCCAGCCACGCCAATGTGTCGGAGGAAACACCGTTCAACTGACGACCAAGATCAGACTGCAGGCGCCCGGCCCGCCACAAGGAGTCGCTAGAGCTCGATGAGCCAAGTAAAGCCCCCCCCCCCCCCCGGCCAAATCCTCCCGTAACCCAGACGACGCTGGGTCAATTGTGCACCGCCCTATGGGACTCCCGTTTACGGCCGGTTGTGATACAGCCCGGGATCGAACCCGGGTCTGTAGTGACGCCTCTAGCACTGCGATGCAGTGCCTTAGGGCAGAATTGTTAAAAAATAATAATAATAATAATTTCTCAAAACAAACAAAACAATTAAACCTCTGGCTCGCGGGCAGGATCCATATGTTACCCACCCCTGATGTAGGGGATAAGGGTCAATATTGAATTGGTCCATTATAACTTTTCTCCGTCACCATGATGACAGTGAAAGGATACGGTCGGTGCCGGGGAATAACGTCCGTCCAGTGAGCAGCTCTGCCATGATGCAGCCCACTGACCAGATGTCCACTACAACAACAAAAACAATGTTACCATTAATTCCTGTAGTTGTCAATTTTCTTGTATGTGTGTGTGTACTAGGTGAGTGTGTACTAGGTGAGTGTGTACCTGTCATGTAGTGATAGTTATAAACTCAGTAAAAAAAGAAACATCCCTTTTTCAGGACCCTGTTTTTCAAAGATAATTCGTAAAAATCCTAATAACTTCACAAATCTTAATTGTAAAGGGTTTAAACACTGTTTCCCATGCTTGTTCAATGAACCATAAACAATTAATGAACATGCACCTGTGGAACGGTCGTTAAGACACCAACAGCTTACAGACGGTAGGCAATTAAGGTCACAGTTATGAAAACTTAGGACACTAAAGAGGCCTTTCTACTGACTCTGAAAAACACCAAAAGAAAGATGCCCAGGGTCCCTGCTCATCTGCGTGAACGTGCCTTAGGCATGCTATAAGGAGGCATGAGGACTGCAGATGTGGCCAGGGCAATAAATTGCAATGTCCGTACTGTGAGACGCCTAAGACAGCGCTACAGGGAGATAGGACTGACAGCTGATCGTCCTCGTAGTGGCAGACCACGTGTAACAACACCTGCACAGGATCGGTACATCCGAACATCACAACTACGGGACAGGTACAGGATGGCAACAACAACTGCCCGAGTTACACCAGGAACGCACAATCCTTCCATCAGTGCTCAGACGGTCCGCAATAGGCTGAGAGAGGCTGGACTGAGGGCTTGTAGACCTGTTGTAAGGCAGGTCCTCACCAGACATCACCCGCAACAACGTCGCCTATGGGCACAAACCCACCGTCGCTGGACCAGACAGGACTGGCAAAAAGTGCTCTTCACTGACGAGTCGCGGTTTTGTCTCAACAGGGGTGATGGTCGGATTCGCGTTTATCGTCGAAGGAATGAGCGTTACACCGAGGCCTGTACTCTGGAGCGGGATCGATTTGGAGGTGGAGGGTCCGTCATGGTCTGGGGCGGTGTGTCACAGCATCATCGGACTGAGCTTGTTGTCATTGCAGGCAATCTCAACGCTGTGCATTACAGGGAAGACGTCCTCCTCCCTCATGTGGTACCTCATCCTGACATTACCCTCCAGCATGACAATGCCACCAGCCATACTGCTCGTTCTGTGCGTGATTTCCTGCAAGACAGGAATGTCAGTGTTCTGCCATGGCTAGCGAAGAGCCCGGATCTCAATCCCATTGAGCACGTCTGGGACCTGTTGGATCGGAGGGTGAGGGCTAGAGCCATTCCCTCCAGAAATGTCCGGGAACTTGCAGGTGCCTTGGTGGAAGAGTTGGGTAACATCTCACAGCAAGAACTGGCAAATCTGGTGCAGTCCATGAGGAGGAGATGCACTGCAGTACTCAATGCAGCTGGTGGCCACATCAGATACTGACTGTTACTTTTGATTTTGACCCCCCTTTGTTCAGGGACACATTATTCAATTTCTGTTAGTCACATGTCTGTGGAACTTGTTCAGTTTATGTCTCTGTTGTTGAATCTTGTTATGTTCATACAAATATTTACACGTTAAGTTTGCTGAAAATAAACGCAATTGACAGTGAGAGGACGTTTCTTTTTATCGCTGAGTTTAGTATATCATGTACCTGTCGTGTTGTAGTGATAGTTATAGTATATCATTACCTGTCCTGTTGTAGTGATAGTTATAGTATATCATTACCTGTCCTGTTGTAGTGATAGTTATAGTATATCATTACCTGTCCTGTTGTAGTGATAGTTATAGTATATCATTACCTGTCCTTTTGTAGTGATAGTTATAGTATATAATTACCTGTCCTGTTGTAGTGATAGTTATAGTATATCATTACCTGTCCTGTTGTAGTGATAGTTATAGTTATAGTATATCATTACCTGTCCTGTTGTAGTGATAGTTATAGTTATAGTATATCATTACCTGTCCTGTTGTAGTGATAGTTATAGTATATCATTACCGGTCCTGTTGTAGTGATAGTTATAGTATATCATTACCTGTCCTGTTGTAGTGATAGTTATAGTATGTCATTACCTGTCATGTTGTAGTGATAGTTATAGTTATAGTATATCATGTACCTGTCCTGTTGTAGTGATAGTTATAGTATATCATTACCGGTCCTGTTGTAGTGATAGTTATAGTATATCATTACCTGTCCTGTTGTAGTGATAGTTATAGTATATCATTACCTGTCCTTTTGTAGTGATAGTTATAGTATATAATTACCTGTCCTGTTGTAGTGAGAGTTATAGTATATCATTACCTGTCCTGTTGTAGTGATAGTTATAGTTATAGTATATCATTACCTGTCCTGTTGTAGTGATAGTTATAGTTATAGTATATCATTACCTGTCCTGTTGTAGTGATAGTTATAGTATATCATTACCTGTCCTGTTGTAGTGATAGTTATAGTATGTCATTACCTGTCCTGTTGTAGTGATAGTTATAGTATATCATTACCTGTCATGTTGTAGTGATAGTTATAGTATATCATTACCTGTCCTTTTGTAGTGATAGTTATAGTATATAATTACCTGTCCTGTTGTAGTGATAGTTATAGTATATCATTACCTGTCCTGTTGTAGTGATAGTTATAGTTATAGTATATCATTACCTGTCCTGTTGTAGTGATAGTTATAGTTATAGTATATCATTACCTGTCCTGTTGTAGTGATAGTTATAGTATGTCATTACCTGTCATGTTGTAGTTATAGTTATAGTATATCATTACCTGTCCTGTTGTAGTGATAGTTATAGTATGTCATTACCTGTCATGTTGTAGTGATAGTTATAGTATATCATTACCTGTCATGTTGTAATGCATCCAGTTAAGCATGATCTCTGGGGCGCGGTACCACCTGGTCGCTACATAACCCGTCATCTCATCATCAGTGTGTCGCGCCAAACCAAAGTCCAGGATCTGATGGATAGATGAAGAGATAGGGGTGTGTGTGTGTTGTTTATGCGTGGGTGTATGGGGAGATAGAGTTAGCTATAAACAAACTCCACAGTAGATTAAATCCTACGCTTTCTAACCTCGTGTGGGTGGAGGGTATTAAAGCCACTCTAATAATAATGATGATGATGAACACACAGTACTGTAAACAGTCAAACAGATACAGCAAAATAATGTTCCAAACTAAATATCTAACAAGAACTATAACTGGTGGTGCTGCAAATTGTGTTATTACATGTTTTCTGTTGTTGATCTGAATGTTGGCGACTGTCAGGCGTTGATAATATATTTTAAAAGACAACTACAGTGACATCTCTTTCTAGCTGGAGAGGAGCTGATCAGAGCAGTTGAAAATAATAATCTTAATTTGACCCTGCTTCTCACAGCATGAATATAATACTGCAGCAACAGGACATTTGAATTATTATGTGAATTATAATTAATGGACATTGTTCTAGGGGTTGATACCTTTTTCGTTAGGGCAAATCAAGTCAGAAATGTTAAAGTGGAAATTACAAACTTTAGAAGCCTTTTTAAACCTTGAATACACTACAACAGAGTGATCAGATGAAGATAGCAGATCTATTGGCACTAAGGAGGGTTTAGTAGGCAAATTGTATTTTCTTACCTTGAGCTCACAGTCCTCATTCACTGCCAGATTACTGGGCTTCAGATCCTGTGGAGATGGAGAGCGAGGGAGGGAGGGAGGGAGAAGAGTAGAGGGAGGGAGGCAAGAAAGAGGGAGGGAGGGAGGGAGCGGAGGAGGGAGGGGAGGAGAAGAGAGGAGGAGGGAGGGAGGGAAGAGAGAGAGGAGGGAAGCAGAGAGAGGGAGGGAGTGAGGGAGAAGAGAGAGGGAGGGAGGGAGGGAGAAGGAGAGTGAGGGAGAAGAGGAGGGAGGGAGCGAGAAGAGGGAGGAGGGAGGGAGATAGCGGAGGAGGGAGGGAGGGAAGAGAAGAGAGAGGGAGGAGAACAAGAGTAAACAGAGAGTGGAGGGAGGGAGAGAGAGAGGGGGGAGAAGAGAGAGGGAGGGAGTGAGGGAGAAGAGAGAGGGGAGGGAGGGAGAGGGAGAGCGAGAGGGGAGGGAGGGAGGGAGGGAGGGAGGGAGGGGAGGGAGGGAGGAGGGAGGGAGGGAGGGAAAGAGAGAGGGAGGGAAGGGAGAAGAGAGAGGGAGGGAGAAGAGACGAGGAGGGAGAAGAGAGAGGGAGGGAGAGAGAGAGGGAGGGAGAGGGAGGGGAGGGAGGGAGGAGAAGAGAGAGGGAGGGAGGGAGGGAGGGAGGGAGGGAGGGAGGGAGGGGAGGGAGGGAGGGAGGGAGGGAGGGGAAGTAGAGAGGGAGGGAGGGAGTGAGAGAGAGGGAGGGAGTAGAGAGAGAGGGAGGGAGTAGAGAGATGAGGGAGGGAGGGAGGCAGGGGAGCGTGAGGGAGGGAGAAGAGAGAGAGGGACGGAGGGGAAAATAAGGAAGGTGTTGAGTAGTATTGCCATCCTCCACCCCCCATGCAAGCATCTTGATTTAAATATGAAATGTAAATATGATGTTACTTACTCTGTGGATGATGTCTGCTGAATGGATATACTGCAAAACAAAACAACAATTAAGAACACTCCATACCTATGGAACCTTTACCTGCTGCAGCTATGGAAAACACATGCACAGACAGACAGACACACAGACCGACAAAGACAGACACACAGACCCAGACAGACAGAGACACCTACCTTGAGTCCCCTGAGGATCTGGTATATGAGGAACTGCACGTGGTCGTCTGTCAGCTTCTGACACTTCACTATGTTGTTGAGGTCCGCCCCCATCAGGTGGGTCACCAGGTACCTGTCAATCAAATCCCCCCCAAAAAGAGGAAGACAGGTTGTTACCATGGCAACACGACAACGGTCGAGCAAGAGAGAGAGTCTCCTCTGCCAGCACTACAAATTTCAAGCCATAAACACTGTTAAGTGCTTTACAGATCCTTTAGGGTGAACCAGGGAGAGTTGTGTGTGACAGGTATCATATCCTAGCCCAATATGAAGTGAAGGTTATTGCGTCAGTATTCTGCACACACACTGGCAGCCACGGAGAGAGTGGAATGCTTGTTACCATGGAAATAAGGAATAATGTGTGCACGTGGTAACCCTGCATGTTCCTTAGTGAGACGAACCACACGACAAACCATATGAAATAGGTTTGTTTAAATAAACCATCATATCACACGTGCATGTGTGTGTGTGTGTGTGTGTGTGTGTGTGTGTGTGTGTGTGTGTGTCCGCGCATGTGTTCTGCTAGGCAACTTGAACTCCAAGAGCTATATGAACTGCCAGAGAGGGGGGGGGATAGACGTGGAGGAAAGAGAAAGAAAGAGATTACTCACACGTCGTTGAACTCCTCTAGGCTGGTGGCGGGCGTAAAAACATCCAACAGACCAATCACCTAACAGAGAGAGAAGGTCAAAGGTTACACAACGTTCTACACACAACAGACACGACTCACACTAGAGACAAAACATTGGCCGTGTCCGAATACCCGTACTTGTGTTCTAAATAGTAGGCTGATTGGTTTAATGCGAAAATATAACGTTTTATACTATGTGACATTTCTAAAATGTAGTATGATTTAAATGCCAGGATGTCATACTCATAGCTACATGTTATTGAGGAAGAGATTAGTCTTTTCCGACCTCCGTGTATTTGACAATAGCTGATAACCACAGAATGGCACCAGCTGTAGCAAAATAAATTAATGTTGGGAAACAAAGCAATTACACAATTGATGACGCATTCTCAGTATGGGTGAGCCTAGTATGTTGATATGCGTTGCTTACTGCATACATAAAAAAAGAGAAAAACCTTGGTCGACCTAGTCTTCTGTTCTTTCGACCAAAAACATTTTCCCCTAAATAGACCCATCCTATGTGTTTTTAATAAAATCAACTATATGTAGGCTACTGAGCTTGTCTGATGCTTTAAGCACTGTGATTAAATAATGAAGTCTCACAAATGACTTGAGGGAGCCAGAGGTATGCGGGTGAGAGCATTTGTGTCCAAACCGTTACAGTGTGGAAATTGTAAAGGATATGGTCACGTGTCAAATGTTTGCAGACGGGAGAAGTATAGTATTGAAGAATCTGTCAATGGAAAATGTGGTGGGGATCATACTCCGGACTTCCCTGAGTGCCCTGTTAGGGTGAAGGAGGTCGAGGTGTCAAGGATCAGGGCTGCGCAGCAGATCTAATATGTGGAGGTGGTGAAGAGAGTCGAAGGAGGAAGATGCAACATTGTTGAAGATATGGCGGTGGATGCATTGCAACCAGTTGCTAGTGTTTTAAGTCAAATCGAGTGATCTGGATACACTCATTGTGAAGAAAGTGGATTTTGTGGCATTTATAGCCACAGTTATTAAATTGTCCTGCACAAGTGTCTAAGAAGTCCAAAAAGCTGGACATCATTACATCTGCAGCCGATAAGTTTTTTGGGCTCAAAGACTTCACTGCCAGGACTATTGTCGCTAGGAAATGTCCCGCCCTCACAGGAGTGTATTGAGCCTGTGTAGGGACCTGATTATAATGAGTTTTTTACAGAAAAGCAGGTTGATTTTGTTTAGTTAATTTCTTTTTTTATATTTTGTATGATAGATTTATTTTTTACCCACATTATTTCATTTTTTTGGGATCCTTTTTATTCACCCGCACAGTAGGTGGCGGAATGCACATCAAATTGTTGCGAACGCCATTATACCATAGAAGAAGAAGACGGTCACCTTTTCCTTTTGGAATGCCATTTCTACCGATCTGCTTGCCAGTTAGGATTTTTTTTACGCACATTTTAGTGGAAAAGTTTCATTTAATTGATAATAAAGTATTTGTATCTCAATCATTATGATGTGGTTAATCAAAATTCTAAAAGTAACTTCTATTGCCAACTATGTAAAAATATCCTACATAAAGGCAACAAATAAAAACATTGCAGCCTGCAGGTAGAAAATATCCTGATAAAAAATAAATCGCAAACTTGCAACATTGTATAAAATATTCTGGGCCCTCGGTTTCCCGCTGGCCAGACAGACACAGCTGTAGGATAAGAAGTAATCAGGTAGGCCTATTTTATGACGTTTCCACCGGGTCAGAGCATGACATTATTTTCTCCCTTTCACGCCGAGTGGTTATCGAAAGGTAGAGAGCTGGAAAGATTTTTCAAATAGGCTACGTTGAGGAACTATTGTCATTCTCAATGGATGTAAAAACAGACTTCATTTACTCGCTGTTTGAGGTGAAGAAAAAAATTACTTTGAGAAGTTAAGACAATCAATCAGAAATGCTATCAGATCCTCAAATGGGCACATTTCTAGGCCTACATTTGCACCCAGGCCAGGTAGCCCAGGCCTACTTCTACATCTGCATTGCTGTTTGGGGTTTTAGGCTGGGTTTCTGTATTGCACTTTGTGACATCTGCTGATGTAAAAAGGGCTTTATAAATACATTTGATTGATTGACTTCTATGTATAATGAGGTCCTTAACATTGACAGGAGCACTACAAACAAAAGACAATGAACAAATTGACAAAACTCGTAAATGGAAAGAAATAAACCAAAACTTGTTCCTGTAGCCAAATACTCTGACAATGAGAACGGTAAAAGACTGTAATAATAATATATTGAATGCATTAACAGAAATTACCGTAACCAAACCAACATTGTAGATGGTAAATTATAAGGATTAAAGGTAAATGTAGTACTGGTGATCCTGGTGTGCCACCCCCGCGGCCTCCGCAATGGACTAGTCCACTGAGACAGTGTCTCATGTGCCATAAAAAAAAAATATATATTTTAGACTGCTCGACTGAACAAAATCTTGGTCGACCAACAGCCTATCGACCAGTCGACTAAATGGGGTCAGCCCTAAGGACGATTGGTACAACATATGTAGTTTTAGTAAGTAGGAGGCAAGACAGATTCGGACATGGCCATTGACACTGACACAAAACAAGTCACACTACAGATAACATTTTTACAAACACAACATGTCGTCGTCTTTCAATTTGCTAAAACCCCTCAGGGTGAATGAGGCAATGTGCAGAGTGTGCAAACATAGGGAATGGTTTCCAACTTTTTCTCTACGCAAGGACAACAAGCAACGTCATGGCGAGACTGTGCTACCGCACGGTGTCCTTGACATGGTCCATCACTGCGTTTTAACATCAGATAAAGGTTTCTTTGACAACCAAGAACATCACGTTTCATTAAACAATGATTGTGGATTTTAGACTCCAGTAACGTCAGGTTGTTCTCAAAGCTTTGGAACAGCCTACGCCACTGTTCTTCTCTCCTCACAAGGCAGAAAATCAAATCAAATGTTATCGTAGGTGCAGTGAAATGCGTTTCTAGCTCCAACAGTGCAGTAACACCTAGCAATACAAAACACATTTTTTTATTTTTTTTTATTAAGAAATATCAGAACGAGCAATGTCAGAGTCCGGAATATACTAAAGTATGTGGACACCCCTTCAAACTAGTGGATTCGGCTATTTCAGCCACACCCATTGCTGACAGGTGTATAAAATCGAGCACACAGCCATGCAATCTCCATAGACAAAAATTGGCAGTAGAATGGCCTTACTGAAGAGCTCAGTGACTTTCAAAAACTGCCTCTGGAAGCAACGTCAGCATAACAACTGTTCGACAGGAGCTTCATGAAATGGGTTTGCCTAAGATCACCATGCACAATGCCAAGCGTCGGCTGGAGTGGCGTAAAGCTCGCTGCCATTGGACTCTGGAGCAGTGGAAACGCTTTCTCTGGAGTGATGAATCACGCTTCACCATCTGGCAGTCTGACGGACGAATCTGGGTTTGGTGGATGCCAGGAGAACGCTACCTGCCCCAATACATAGTGCCAACTGTAAAGTTTGGTGGAGGAGGAGTAATGGTCTGGGGCTGTTTTTCATGGTTCGGGCTAGGCCTCAGTTCCAGTGAAGGGACAGTTACACTACAGCATACAATGACATTCTAGACGATTCTGTGCATCCAACTTTGTGGCAACAGTTTGGGGAAGGCCCTTTCCTGTTTCAGCATGACAATGCCTCGGTGCACAAAGCGAGGTCCATACAGAAATGGTTTGTCGAGATCGGTGTGGAAGAACTTGACTGGCCTGCACAGAGCCCTGACCTCAACCCCATCGAACACCTTTGGGATGAATTGGAACGCCTACTGCGAGCCAGGCCTAATCGCCCAACATCAATGCCGACCTCACTAATGCTCTTGTGGCTGAATGGAAGCAAGTCCCTGCAGCAATGTTTCAACATCTAGTGGAAAACCTTCCCAGAAGAGTGGAGGCTGTTATAGCAGCAAAGGGGGGACCAACTCCATATTAATGTACAGTGCTATGGAAAAGTATTTGCCCCCTTTCTAATTTTCTCTACTTTTGCATATTTGTGATACTGAATGTTATCAGATCTTCAACCAAAACCTAATATTAGATAAAGGGAACATAAGTGAACAAATAACACAACAATTACATATTTATTTCATAAACAAAGTTATGCAACACCCAATTCCCCTGTGTGAAAAAGTAATTGCCCCCTTACACTCAATAACTGGTTGTGCCACCTTTAGCTGCAATGACTCCAACCAAATGCTTCCTGCAAATATGTAAAAGTAGAGAATATTAGAAAGGGGACAAATACTTTTTCATAGCACTGTACATCTATACTGAACAAAAATATAAACGCAACATGTAAAGTGTTGGTCCCATGTTTCATGAGCTGAAATACATGTTCCATACGCACAAAAAGCTTATTTCTCTCAAATTCTGTCAACAAATTTGTTTACATCCCTGTTAGTGAGCATTTCTCCTTTGCCAAGATAATCCATCCACCTGACAGGTGTGGC